AGTATTTATGCCACAGCAGGATTAAAAAGAAAGAACTGTAGCTGCCAGCAGTAACAGCAAAGGGTCCACAAGAGAAGGCCAGATAACAGCACGGTGAGGGCAGGGATACACAGCATGCCATGTTCTAATATAGATCATCATGAGAGAAGATCTGTGTGGTAGAAAAAGGTTTCTGTAGTATGTAGTATGGTATATACATGGAACTAAGACAAAAACTATCTGATATGTTCACCCGAGTTCAGAAACAACTTTAGAAGGCTAAGTTAACAATAGCATCTGTGTGGGAGTGATGGCAGAAAAGGGGACAGTTTACTTTCACCATCTGTATAGGTCATGCAGACCTCAGATTCACAGTCCTTCTGTCTTGGCTTCCCAAGCACCAGGATTACAGAGCTACCAATGCCTGGCGACAGTGTTTTATTCCCTAACCCAGAAGTCAACTTCAGGTCCACGTAGCCTAATGAAGGAACCTGCTCGTGTGGGATTTTTCTTCCATGCATAAATCACTGAACCACAGTTGACCCGAGGGCATACTTACCACATTTATCCTCTTAAATATTCTGTGTCCTTTCCAAAATACATAATCCAATCATCTTCTAGCACCCGTGTGCTAGACATTACATAAGACTGCATAAAATTTAGCAGCATTTATTTAGCTCTCCAAGGAAGGCAATCACATTTTCCTTTCACAAGACACAGTTAACCACACGTGGCACACTTTCCTGTTAAATAACACAGTAAGTGCTTAGTGGGTTAAGGTGCGTGTGTGTACACAGGCCCATCTGCCCATGTGAGCACAAAAGCTGACTCTGGGGTGTCTGCCTAGACCATTTCCCCAATCTTTCTTTCTTCTTCTTCCCCTTTTCTTGTTCTGAGGCAGATCTTTCACAGAACCTGAGCTTGCCATTTCACCTAGACTAAGTGGAGAGCAAGCCACCAGGTTCTACCAGGCTCCATATCCTCCCCATGCACCACCACACCTGGCTTCCAAACTCAGGCTCTCAAGCACTCTCCCCACTGAGCCATCTTCCTGGCCCTTTCTTAAGTTTCTCTCAGACGGAGGCAGCAGACTCCCCGTAATCACCACTAGGGCAGCAGCTGCTCAAGTACTTCCTTCTCCTTGAAGCTTTCTTCTACTTTGAAAACTGTTCTCTTTGTCAGATGGTCCTTAGAGTCAGGAGTTCTTACAGCCAAATCTTTAATTGTGAAAGAACTTCCTCCCAGCTGCTGCCAGGTGAGCAGCAACAAGCCTCACATGAACTGGCAAGTGGAATGGTGCAGACCTGCAAGGCTGGCCAAGGTCTCTTGTAACCCTAAACCAAGACCTCAAGGAGACAGGGGTATCATCCAAACCAACCCTTGATTTTGCTGGGACAGCTGAGTGGCCCAGGTTAAGGCCTTGGTCACAGGTCACAAAGCAAGTTACTGCTACATTGAAGTTCATGACTCAAATCCTTCAGCCCTCACTGTTTCCAACACTACTTCTTTACAAAAGCAGGAGGCGGGCCATGGAGAAATCAAACCTACTACTGCTGCACAAACTAGAAATGCCCTTCCCACCTCCCCCAACAAGCCTGAACAATGAGGAAGAGGGGATCAAACCATTCCCAGCATAGAAATGAGGTGAAGCAGGGAGCACTATTAAGCTCTCAGACTTACCCACATTACCAGAAGAGTTACACTGAGCATGGAGCATCAGATGAATTTTCTTCTTAAGCCTCCTGAAATGACTAAGTCAATATTCTAACACTCTTGAAAGTGTTGAAAGAGAACTGCTGGTGTCATGAAGGAGTCTTTCACCTGTGACTAAGGGCACAGTGTTTTGGGGGGAGGAGGGCAGCCAGGGTAACGAAAAAAGCTTAAGTAATGTGAAGTGGGGTAGAGAGGAAGAAAGCAGGAGGATAAATGAACAGAGGTACCAAGAGAAAGGACAGGACTGAAACACTGTAGATAACAGGATAAACAGAGACAACACGGGTCTCTAAATAACCGGAGTCCAGGGGAAGAGCTGTGACAGACAATTTTGATAGTCTTTGGATTTTATCTTTTAACTGAGGTCAGTTTATCTTTCTTAATTAAAGATGCAAACACATGTGCTTGAAGACAGTTTCTACACCCTCACTGAAGGGTACCAGGGAGTTCTGATGGCAGCAACAGGTTGATAGCACAAACCGATCACACTCTAGTTTTTCAGGTCTGAAATCTCTTCCTCCCACTGGACAGGACTGCTCTAACAATACGACTGTAATGGTATCAGAAGCTAGTTCAGGGCCTAGCACACAGCACACATACAAAGCTGAAATCTCGGATGCATGACTCATCAGGTCACCGAATGTGTGTCTGCTTACATGGTACTTTCCTCTCTGCCTCCCTCAAGCAGGCTCATATTTACAAGCTGTCTAAAAGCATAAAGGCTGCTGTTTTGTATCAGGCAGCCCTGCTTGGGCTCACAGAACCAAACACTGTAGTTTATGAGACAGAAAATTTACAGTAGGTCCCCGCCCCAGGCACATGTTAGGCCCCAACCAGTGCTGTCAGATCAAGGCTGGCTAACACGCCTCACTTCACTATACTTCCTACCCCTCACACAGCTTTGGCAAAACTCAGCTGACTCTTATTTTTTTCCAAGTGGGATCAACCTGGAAGCACCCATCTCCGATTTAGTCCTCTCAACATGTACCACTCTACGTTTCTCCCATCACTGTGACCAGCTGAGCTAGGAGACTTTCAGTAGCATTTATTAAAGGCTGTGGGAGTAGGTCAGTAGTAAACCCTGTTACTGGTGCACATAAAAGCCTGAGTCCAACTCTCAGAACCCCTGAAAAACATGAAGCAACCTCCAACTCAACATATGAAAATGCAAGCATGAAGAGTATCATCAGTAAAACAGTAAATACACTGACTCACACACACCTTCCCAAGTGCTCAATTCCTCAAGTCCTCCCCTCCCCGCCAACTTACATCTAACACCACCTCTGACTCGTTACAAATGCATACTAGTCATAAGGAGGCCTTGCCTTTCTCATTTCCTAGAGTCCAATGGATGACAGGATGACACCTGTCAACAGCTGAAATAGCACAGAATATGTAATGTGTCTGAATTTCTTGAGCACTTTTTTTATAGGTCTTTTATATGAGGAATTTAATCCATGTAACTAACTTGTTTAACAACAAAGCGACAATAATCATATTTTTTTAAAGCTGTTCTGTTTTGTTTTGCTTTCTGAGACCAGGTTTCTCTTTATAGCCTTGGCTGTCCTGGAACTAACTCTGTATACCAAGCTGGCCTCGAACTCTGCCTCCTGAGGGCTGGGATGCACCATCACACCCGGCTTTTCAAAGCTATTTTTAAAGATTTATTTTTGTTATTTTTATCATGTGTACATAAGAGACAGTGGAGTGTGTGCATGTGCTTATAGAAATCAGAAGAGGATGTTGGAATCTTTGGAGTTATGAGATACAGGAAGCCGGCAGGCAGGGGTGATGCAATGCTAAGCGGTAATGATGCACACCTTTAACCCCAGTACTTGAGAGGCAGAGAGGCAGGTGGATCTCGGTGAGTTCGAGGCCAGCCTAGTCTTCAAAGAGAGTTCCAGAATAGCCAAGACCATTAGACAGAGAAACCCTATCTCCAAAAAAATAAACAGTACAGGAGGTTGTCGGTGACCCAACATGGGTGCTGGGAAAGAATTTGGACATGTGAAAGAGCGAGTGGTCAACCTCTGAGCCATCTCTCCAACCCCTGAATCTAACTCCAGAGTGAGACATGGGGCTACAGGTATAGCTCAGTATTTGGGTCTTACCTAGAGCCTGATAACACTTGGGTTTGGTTCCCAGCACAACTTCTAAAAAGTGTACCACACATTTGTCCACTGGCTATCTACCTTGAAGGCAGTCATGCTGTCTGAACCTGTGGCCCCTGTCAGAATATGCACTTACTTCTGTATATGTCTGTTCTGATAGGAAATGCTCATTTATGAGGCTGAAGGTACAACTCAGAAGCGCACATGAAGCCCTGGGTTCAAACCACCAGCACCAAACAAACAAATAAATACATAAACAAATATATAAAGTGCTCATTTGCAATTATATGCACCCTGAAGACAGGGTACTTAACCCTAACCGGTGCTCAATCAACTTTACACTTGAACCAAGAGGTGAACTGAGGGTTCTGGGATCAATTAGCATTCTACCAACACACTCTGGCAAGTTGAAACCTGCTTAACAAATAAAGGCAACTATTTTGTAACTTAATGTCAGGGTATAGGAGGTGTGGGGGCTGAGCTTCACGCATTCTAGAATCTCCTCTATCACTGCGATACATTCTAGCCCCTGTGGTAGTTTATCCATCAACATTCTTAACATTCTTAAGCATTAAATAACCACTTCATTATAACATTGTCCAATAAATATGAGGATAAACTGGCCTGCGATGTTGTCTCAGTCAAGAAATATATCTCTAAGATTATCTTTGAAATTCCACTTGGGCGATTCAACAATGGTCTACCTCTCTTTACCAGTCCACTGCTAATCTAGACCGGAAGGGATGTGCAAAGGCCTACACATAATATAGTTATCGACAAGCACCCATTGTCACGAACGAAATATATATAGTCAAAGAACTGAACTCCGGGACATCACTGGCATGAAGCGAAAGCTTTAGTTTGAGAGCTTGAGAAACTCGAGTTAATCAGTTCTAATTAATGCCTAGCTTAGTAAGAAGTCAACTTCTCTTAACTGTACAAAGGCAAGTTGGACTCGAAATCTGACACCCAGATGTGCCTGCCAGATGTGCAAAGTGGGTCAGCACTTCTCAGCCAAGAGACCTTTTCCCTTACAAGGCCGGTTTCAAATCACCCCCGCTTCTCTAGAAGGAAGCGCGCCAAGTTCCTCGGGCATGAGAAGGAGGGCGGTCACCCGCGCTCACTGGAGCACTGGTGAGGACCTTTGGCCGCCTTGTCGCAGGCATACCGGGTCCCGCCAACCCCGCACGTACTCACCCACAGGCTGCTGAAGTAGTCGAGGCCGTGGCAGATGAGCGCGCCCGCGTGTGCCAGCAGCACCTGGACGCCCAGGTAGCTGCCCAGGCAGTAGAGCCCGTACAGCAGCGGGCCACCTGCGCCCAGCAGCAGCAGCAGCCGACGGCGGCGCAGCGCTTGCTCGCCCAGGGCCTCGACGCCGTAGTCGGCGAAGCAGAGCGGCAGCAGCAGCGCGGCCAGCACGATGGGCGTGTGCGCGCGGTGCAGGCGGCGCAGCCACAGGCGGCCCAGGCGTGTGAGGGAGCTCTTGAACGGGTGCAGGAAGGTGCCGCACAGCACGGCCCAGAGCAGCGGCCGCAGGAAGGCCTCGAGGATGAAGTACACAAGCACCGCGGCCCCGCAGCACAGGCACACGAACAACACAGCGCCCGTGTTGTAGAAAGCCTGTTTGATGGGCTTATCGAAGCGCAGCGCCAGAGCCGCGGTACGCGGGGTCTCGCCCTGCCCGGCCACGCGCGGGGCCCGAGGCTCCGGCCGCGGAGAGCCCCGAGGGCTGGGCGCTTCGGCAGGACCGCCGCGGTCGGCCATCGCGCCTCTGCCTGGACCGAGGGGCGGGGCGGCGAGATGGCGGAGGAGCTCGGGCGGAGGCGGACGGTGCCGCGAGGGCTTGTGGGCTTTGTAGTACTCAGACCGCAGGCAGAGCATGCGCTAGAACCCAGGGAAACTACAACTCCCAAGAGGGTGAACGTAAATGCCTCCACCCTCAGTCCCAATGGTCCCTCAGGGACTAGGTAACAAGTTTTGAGAGGGTCCAAGTAGGGCACACGCCCTACAAACTCCCTTTCTTTGATTGATGTCAACTTTTCCGGAGGCAGGATCCCAAAAGAGACACTTTCAAAAAAGTTACACACAAGTTGTGCTTTAGCTTGGAAAGTATTTCTAAAAACACTGATGCACAGACTTAGTTTTACTGACATTTAATAAATACTTATTTTTAATGGTGTGTATGCAGAGTGTGTGGGTGGCCAATGAAGCCAGAAGCGTCGGATGCCCGCAGCTGGAGTTACAGGTGGTTGTGAGCAACTTGACTTGGGTGCTGGGACTAGAACTCAGGTCCTCTGGAAGAGTAATACACGCTCTTAAGCACTTTAAAGTACTCTCTCGTGTGTATGACAGAGTTTTAAGTGACTACTGCAGTGTGACAGTCTCTAGTCTAGGAGGTTGGCTCCTGTCAACTCATTTAATCCTTAAAAATCTCACTAGAGGTGTTACTAGTCTTGTTTGCAAACAGGAAAACAGGGCTCAGAGAATTTAAGTACCTGACCTCATACAGCTGCCAAGTGGGTGAGGCAGGATTCACATTAAGGACCTTTATTCTGTAGCTCTTGTATTCTATGCCGAGTGATCTGAACAGGGGATCCTTTGGCTTTGTAACCATTTGTTTTTAACCATTCGTTCCTAATACAGAGTAGGATCGTCAATATGGGAGCAATCTAAATGCCTCTGAGTACGTATATCAGTGTTTAACTTCCATTGTTTGCTCCTTACTGAAGTATTCTCTCTGGCAAGGGATAATGGGAATTACAGTTCTTATTTTAGGGCTGTTTGGGGGTGGGGGGAGTAACCAAGCCCTTGGCAGTGCTAGGTGCTTCTGTCCTGAGAAAAGCGTTTTGGAATCCAAGTCTGCTTTCAGTAAAATACTCCAAACAGCATTTTTATTTGAGAAAGAGACAGAAGGAGACATAGAGAGAGGGAGAAAAGGGAGCGGGAGCATTGGTCTTTCCCCCTTGCTGAGTACTCAATATGGGAGGATTCCACCATAAGAATTATTAGCTCCTTCCTGTTTCTGTTCTAATGTAAATGAGGTAGTTTCCATGTGAAGAAGCCTTGCTAACTAGGTCCTGGATATAAAAGGATTCAGGAGTGAAGAAAAAGCAATTCCTTTCCCCTTTCTATCTTGCTTATAGGTTTTGGGCCACTGGTTCTCAGTGTCTGGGTCTTGGAGTTTCACTCAGTGAATGTCTCTTCAGGTGTACTTACATTTTACTGAGCTACTTACCTGCTTTGTTCAGCCTTCTGAGATCACCACCGAAAATTAGTGGTGTTTGCTGTCACACGGGTTTGTGCACATTCGTTGACTTGAGCTGCTCTTTACATAACAAGGCATCACCTTCGTGCCTTTAAAAAAAAAAAATTAGGAGTTGGGGGATACGTCACATTTGTTCAGAGCCATGAGTCAAAAATCAACCACGGATCCAAATGCCACCCTGCTACTCAAAACTCAAAGAATCTATTGTCCATTATCACAAGACCACCAGTGCCTCTTTCACTCCATCCCACAAATTTCTAACCCCCCACAGAGCCAATGCAGATCTGGGTCCCATTCAGAGTAGAAGACGAAGTCTTTCTATACAGCTTAGAGAATCTGTCTTTTTTCACTCAAGCCCTGAACCAGACACATCTACCCAATGGTGAAGCCTCCTCCATGAGTGGCTCCCTTGTATCTAGCTTGCAATTTTCTGACAACAGGGGTTCAAAAATGCATCCAGATGACTCCTCAAACCTACAACACTCTTCAATTACAAAAATTAAGTTCCCATGAAAATTAAGTCACATAACAAAAGATGAAAGGTCTGTGGGTGGGATGTTGCCTGAATTGTGTTGGGGCCCCAGGGCCACAAATGGAGGAGGCTCTCTTATGGTACTATACTCTGTTCCCAAGTCTCAATGGAAAGCAAACTTGCTAAGCCTTTCAAAACAATTCTCATGACCAACAGAACTGACAGGCATCAGTCAGAATTTCTACTGAAGGAGTGAACTCTAACAGAAAAGAAACTGAAGCAGTGTAAACTGAGAGGTGTTTGTATGGCCTCATGTACACTGGGGTTTTCTTCACCTCCCAAAAGTCACTGGTTGATTACAAGCTCCTAGAGAGCAGGGAGTAGGCTTGTTTCAATTCGGTATGTCTAGGACCTGACACAGCAAAAAGATGTTCATAGTCAGAATAGGAGCTCAACGTGTACCGGGCAAGAGAGAGAATGCGTGGTACCCTTTCCCAACAGCCTGTTTATGCTTACTGCATGATAGTGAAACCTTAGTCCAATGGTTCTCTCAACCTTCCTCATGCTGCTACCCTTCAATACAGTTCCTCATGTTGTGGTGACCCCAACCACAAAATTATTTCATTGCTACTTTATAACTGTAATTTTATTACTGCTATAATCATGATGTAAATATCTGATGTACAGGATAGCTGATATGCAACACACACTCCCCACCCCCAAGTGGTTGCAACCCACAGGTTGAGAATCAGCCTTAGAGCATTCATTTGGTTGCATGCAAAGTTAAACTACTGAAATGTAGAACTCTAAAGTTCTGGGGGCAGAGAGACACAGCAAGAAAAGCCCACGCCAGTGTTGGGGATGTGCAAGGCTGAAAACTCGTCTAGGACTTTGTAATTGCAGAGAGATAGAACTGCAGACTCAGAGCCAAATTTTCTTGGGTTATTTTTAGCGTTCCCTTAACAGCCACTCATTGCCCACTCCTGTCTAACCTAACATCCTTTTGACCATCAGATAGAAAGTATTTTTTGCACTAGCTTTCACCTATCCAAAAGCTAAAAATGCCACCAGAGAATATCTAAATACATAGCTTACATAAAAACTTACCTGCCTGTAGCCCTTCTAATGTATTTAGTGAACGCCTTAATTTATGACTTTGTCTTTTAATGAATAAAATCTCTTGTAACCACTTCCATGCTAGAATATGTTCCTTGGGGCAACCCAAATACATGTTCCTAAGCTATAGTCACTTAAATTTTTGCTTAAGGAAAAAATTATGTCTTATTCCTTTTGAGATGAGTTCCGTGTCTGGGGTTGATAGGACCTAAGAACTAAATTTGAAAAAGGGACCCAAGGCCACTCAAATCTCAAGCTCATGGGGCATCAGCTCTAGGACAACTCTTGTGAATTGCCATGCTTCTTAGATTCTCTTTGGTGGCACCACAGAACTCAGTACAAAGCCCTCAGGGAAGACCAGCCTCCCAGACACCCTGGATACAGTGGAGGGCCCGAGATCAGGTGTAGCACAAATAATAAAAGCCTAGAGACAGATATTAGGGTTCAAGCTGAAGATCAGAAAAGCAAAGAAGCCAAGCCACTAGAGAGTTCTTACCTCTACTGGGGGGGGAGGGCGGGGTAGGAATAGGAGGGAAGGTGATCCTGTCCTCAGAGTGACTATAGACTGTAGTGCTCTCCACCAAACCTCAGACTGCCCTCCAGACTGCATCTGTCGCCTCCAAACCTTAGACTGCCTTCTACCTAAACTACATCTCTCTCTTGTCTCCACCTCCTTAGTGCTGGGATTAAAGATATGAGATCCCAAGTGCTAGGATCATCTACCATCTACGTGTGAGCTCTGTTTCTCCTTTAGACTGGATCAATTTTGTGTAGCTCAGGGTGGCCTTGAATTAACAAAGATCTGTCTGCCTCTGTCTCCTGAGTGCTGGGAATAAAGGAGTGTACCACCCCTGCCTGGCTTGTATAGCTGATTAGTGTAGCTACCTTTGCACTCTGATCTTCAGGCAAGCTTTATTTGCTAGATCATAAAGAAACTATCACCACAACTAGGCTACACCTGTACTTCCAGATATATAAATTAAGGTATTTTCTCATTGTGATATCTGTTGTAGTTACTTTTGGGGGCCCAGGATAGTGGCTCCTTGCCAAGCGTTATCTCTTGAACAATCTGTGTCAGTCCCCAACACTTGCCTTTTGTGAATATCACAACCTTCAAGATGTAACAGAAGCAGGGAGAGGCTTTACCCAGCATTGTGTCTCCATAAACAAGATATTCTCCAAGTGTTTCTACACGAGTGTGCCAAGTACTTGTGTTGCACAATACTATCTTCTGAGAACAACCACCATCTTCCTAAGATCAGCTCTGCTGATCTGATGACATTCACTCACAGAAGGATAGGAGGGTCACTTGGCTCCCACACAAGTGTCTAGTCACTCCTCCCTACCATTAAAATGCAATTCTGCCCACCCCAAAAATGCTCATAGTCTCCCAGAAGAGCTAGTATATAGGCAGGAAAAGGTAATTGAGAGGGGGCTTCATCTCCATAGCCATTGTTCACTCTGGGTGCAGACCTTCCAGCTCCTCTGTCTGAGGGTCACCCATGCTCCTGCTCATAACTCCTCATCCATGCTTTGTAAGTAGCCTAATAAACGTATAGGTTATTCAGGGTGAACTTCAGAGGACAGTTGTCATTAGGACCCTATGGGGAAGGGGTGAGGCAGACATTGTTTATTCACTCACCCTGGGAGAAAATTCTCGAAACAACTTGTGTGTTCACATCTACATCTACGCTCAGCACAAGAGAGACTGACAAAATGTGATGAACATGGATTCAGTTTCCTGAGCTGCCTCTTGCTCCTTGCATGGTTGCGAGCATTTCTGAGCAAGGCAGGGAAGACATGCTTGGTTACTGTACCGTTCATGCTACTGACATCAACTATTTCTAAACCCCACAAAGCCTGTCTTGTGGTCTTTCCATCTATCTCCCTTAAACAAATGAGGAAAGACACTCAGCAAGGAAGTCAACTTATCCAAGATTGTACAGCCAGAAAATGGTTCTGTCTGCTTTAATAGCCTCCTAGTTTCATGAAATGGCACAATTGTCGAGATTACATTACAATAGAAATTCAAATAGTGATTAT